AGTGGCTTACCAATTTATAATTTACATAATAAAAGAAACATAAAAAACAAAGGAATTTAAATTCTCATTACATGTGAATGAAAAACCGATATTGATCTCATGTAAATGATTAAGTTTTAATATATATAGTCATGCCCCCTACCTGACTTCTCCCTCTGTCTAGTACCCATACATGTACCCGTTTCCATCAAAGGAAAAAAGTGATGACATATGTGGTGCTTCCCAAACAATTATCTAAAAGTTGAGCAACATGCAAAATAAATATTATACACGTTAAAGTAGGTGATAAGTTAGGTGCTTCTAGACATATATTCAAAAGTTGGCTGCAACATGTAAAATAGGCATCATTCATACAGCTGTGTCCATGCTCCAAATGCATACAGAGAGAGAGAGAGAGAGAGAGAGAGAGAAGAGAGGAGGAGAGGGAGGAGGGAGGGAAGGGGAAAAGGGAGAGAGAGGATCATAAAGTGTCTATCAGAAACTCACTCTATCATACCAGAAGACTTATCCGCATAAACATAGAATAGGTTGTCAATTCGCTCCATTTCCTTTGAAACCGCTTTGCTTGTGGCTGACAAAAAAAAGAAAGAAACTTAAGAAATGTATATAACTGACAGAATGCAACTCTGTAACTAAACGGTCATGTGAGTAAAGCGAAAATTTGCATTACTTATAGCTGAGAAACACAACTGCAAGAAGTGTACACAACTGAAAATATGTCAGACATATACAACTAAACTATCATAAAGCACAAGACAGAAAGTCTGAATTCATTCTACTTTGATCCATACAGCCCCAACATGCTGCAATGTGATCTTACTCTCATGCTATAGACGAGCTAGAAAATATCATGAGTTTCCATGAAATACAACCACATCCATCCATACTGCTCTCAGGCTCTCAGGATGAAATACAAGAGAGGCCATGCGCTGATATCAAACTTATATGCACATATTTATGATCATTCATCATTATAGCCTTGATCTAAGACAGTCTGCCTGGATGCAGTAGTATCTCGTAGAACATCGTCGTGCTAAGCTTCAAAAGGATGCTAACTAAAATTTGACATGAATACGTGACCAACTAGACCTCAATCCAAAGTAAGATGTAATTGCAAATTTCTCCAATGTCTTTATTTGTCTAGATACTTTTCCTTTTCGCAAAGATGAATCTCGTATTTCAACCTTCAATTTATCCCTTTTTATCTGTCTATGCTATCATCATGACCACATCTCAGTCCTTTTCCATCAAAAAGGGGTCAGATATTGCAAGTTTCTGTGAAAATTTTGATGAAACTTTATGACTAGTTATCAAACTAACATCACCTCTCCCTCTGAGTTGCCGCATAATCCCTAGCCCAGAAACTTAATTTATAAACCCCCCTCACCTGCAAGATTGCGATCCTAAAAAAAATCTACTCAGACCAATCGAGCCCATGAATATCTTGTCTGAAAAAAGTAGCAATCAATTTTTCTATCAAAGAAACAGAAAAATACAACTGCCCACGATCAAAACAGGCATTAACCCTAAGAGTTTATTTCCTATGCGCCGAAAGAAACAAAAAAGAATTCAAAGGTGACACTTTTCCCAAATCATCCGAGCACCAAACTTTCCGATTTCTCAACCGAATTAAAGGGCTTTTGAGTCCAGAAGACAAATCTAGCGGTTACCAGAGCGTAAAAGATCAGACGCACCAGAAGAATTGACGGAGCTCTGCTGGGCCTTCTTCGATGACGATCGTCTCATCTTCTGGCCTCCTTTAAAAATCGCAAGAACGAGGGTTTATTAAACAAATAGAAAAGGGGAGGCGTGAGGAGATTAGNGAAGAAAAAAAAGAGGAAGCTTTTGATGTTGCTATCGAGATCTCTTCCCTCGCTTTCCCTCGATTTTTTAACAGTTTTAACTCTTCTCTGTTTATTTTTTTCTCCTCTCTCCCTCTTTGAGCTGATTGAAAAAAAAAAGGGTAGAGAGAATTTTGTGCTGGGCGTAGGAAGAGGGGGTTTGGGTGCGGTTTAAATATGGGTTTGGTAAATTACGACGGGATAATTTTACGGCGGGTCTGGACCCGGCCCAAACCCTAGCCCATTAGGTCTTTAATGGATGTTGTTATTTAAGAATTAATATAACGGTCAGATTAAATGCGTAGTCTTATTAGAGTCCAGAGAGGTTGCATCTACCGTTACTTTCAATCGGATTAAATTTATGTAGTTGTAAGTGTTATTTCTATGCAAATTGTTGTTGCAGTTGCAATCTGTAATACCATTTTCTTTTTCTTTTTTGAATGGGGCTAAGATATACCAAATCTCACGTTTAACTAACAAAACCCCCATCCTAGAAAATCTCTAGCCACCTAACAACATTATCTCTTTAAGGTATACACTTCATTTTTCAAGATTATCGTTATAACATAGAATAGTTTTATATTGTTTACTGTAATCAATTTTTCACAATGTAGTGGTTGAAGTTGTGATTAAGTGACTTGGTTATTAGTTCTTAGGTCATGGGTTTGACTCCTTTACACTTCATTTTTCAAAATTATAGCTATAACATAGAATAGTAATCTTGAAAAATGAAGTGTCAATGATGCAGTAAACAATATAAAATTATTCTCTGTTATAACTATAATCTTAAAAAATAAAGTGTAAAAAATTTGAACCCATGACCTAAGAGCTAATAACCAAGTCACCAAACCACAACTCCAACCACTACATTATGAAAATTTGACTGCAGTAAACAATTTAAAACTATTCTCTGTTATAACTATAATCTTAAAAAAGTTAGAAATCTTTAAAATTACTTATTATTAATAAAACTATACTGACCGAAATAAAACAGTTTCAAAAAAATAATAAATTAATATTTTATTAGGTAAAAGTTCTTATAGAAGAAATTTTCATTAAAAAGAGAGGTTATTTTCTCATTGAATTTGTTGCTTAGAAATGAAATAAAAACTATCTACAAAATAATTGTCATAACTCTAGGATGAGAATACTAGTAATTGGATGAGGTAATTATGAAAATAAAAGAGTTTAGGTTAAGAAATGCTTGCATAAGGTGTCAATATTTTTCTTTCAGCATCGTACACTACAAGAAATTATGTTTTCAACGAAGGGATTTTCTTTCGTTAAAGACCTGAAAACCTTCGTTATTGTATTCCAACGACAGGAGAAAATCCCTTCGTCACCCGTCATTGAAACCTTCTTCGCTAAAATGTCACGAAAGTTATAATACCCATCGTTATAGAGTCTACAACGACGAAATATATTACCGTTATTCATATCTGTGACGGTAATTATTACCGTCGTTACCATCAGTGACGGGAATTTTTTCCCGTTGTTACTATAAAATGACAGTTTTTCATTTCTGTTGTATAATGATGGTTTTGTACGCCCGTTGTTATTGTGTAACAATAGGTGACAACCCTGTCGTTGAAGACCAATTAATGACGGTTGGATACCATCATAAAAGTCCTCATTGTGGGTAATTAGTAACCCATCAACGATGGTCTTTCCCTTCGTTGATGTACTAAATACAGTTTATAAAACCATCATTGTAGACTACAAATTTCTAATATACATTAATGATAAATTTTCTATTCATAGGCAACTATCATAGAAAATCTTCATATTATTCTCAACATGACACTGAGATTCACAACATTAATATATTAAAAATACCCAATAATAAATAAAAGTGAAAACAAAAGCTCTATTCATTAATAACATCAATAAATAAATTTTTATCATCCTCAAATATTCAATACCAATAATAAGAGTTAATATCCCAATTGTTCCAAAGAAAAATATGTGAAACTATCTAAAGCAAATAAAAATAAAAGTTTGGGGAAGACACATCCTTTAATCTCTAATCATTGTAAAAAAAAGACTCGAGTTATCCCCTCTCCTAATCTTGGATAGCCTGAAAAATAAAAAAATCACATAATTAAGAAATATAAATTAAGCAAATATTATCTTATTAAGTAAAAATCATATTATTTTTCTAGTGCAAGTAGTCAATTATAAAAGTATATAAGAGATTTTATAAAAATAATTACCTAGTCATGCACATGTTCTCGAGTTTAAGGAGTCAATAAAATATTAGATTGTTGCCTTAAAAAAATTCATGCATAGCTTTCACTTATGACTCTAAGTCAGACATCCTTTGTTGTTGTTGATGTTGTTGTTGTTTTTACTCATCTAAGCATTGTTGAAGCATCTTGTTCTTTCTCTTTTCTTCTATAACCCGTGCTTTCAGATTAGATCGACTAGGAAGCGGTCCTCTTAAATCTTTCAAAGTAGTCCGCCACCAAATACAGTGATGTGACCATGAGATTGCTTCCCCTAAATTTTTTTAATTATCTTAATGTCTGAAAGTGATGCTTGTTTGACTTGAACGATTTCATCCTATAAAAATTAAATTCATATGTTAGTACTATTTAATGCATCATTATCAAACTTAAATATATATTCTACTTACATATTTATCTTGATCTCTAATACTAGTGTTTCATTAGCTTTCTTTTGGATTTCATGAAACATTTTTACCACATCAGGTGGATTTTCTGACTTTCCACTCTTATTCACATATTAAATAAAAATGAGTACATCATCAAACTAAAAAACAAAGTAGTTTTAAATAAATAGAAAATTAGTTTTGAATGTAAACTAGTTCCCACGCAATTTGTCTAAAGGGTTTACTGCCCGTGTGGTGGAGCATCTTTCTTTTGCCTCTGTTAAGTGTATTTCGTTGGCTTATTTTCTATACATCAAGATTAAAAGAGAATTTTAATAATCTAGCAATATATATGGAACAAAATAAATAAAATTAGGAGATTAATACCTAAAATTTTGAAAAAAAATAATGTTCCTTATCTAGCCAATCCTAGTCGTCAACACTCACTCATGCAGGTTTTTTTTAAGTGCAACTTGCAATGATTTTTCTTTTACATATTTCTTGTGCATCTCACCACGCCACTTATTCCACAAATTACGCAAGTGTCTCATTACTGAATCTCGCTTTTGCTCCATGCCCTCATCATCAAATTTATCCTACATCAAATTGAATCAGAATTTAATTTATAAGAATTAAAGACCAATTGAAAAAAATTAATTTTTAAAGTACCATAATGGATGCCCACATATGATCTTTATTTTGTTGTGGTATTTTGTCCGAATTGAATGAAGATGAACGAATATCTCATGAAAATGAAGATGAATGAAGGCAACATTAGATTCCACAACATAGTAATATGAACAGGACATCTAAGCGTTGTTGAATCATCTAGTTCTTTCTCTTTTCTTCTATAACCCGTGCTTCCAGATCAGATCGACTAGGGAGCGGTCCTCTCAAATCTTTCAAAGTAGTCCCACCACCAAATACAGTGATGTGACCATGAGATTGCTTCCCCTAAATTTTTTTAATTATCTTAATGTCTGAAAGTGATGCTTGTTTGACTTGAACGATTTCATCCTATAAAAATTAAATTCATATGTTAGTACTATTTAATGCATCATTATCAAACTTAAATATATATTCTACTTACATATTTATCTTGATCTCTAATACTAGTGTTTCATTAGCTTTCTTTTGGATTTCATGAAACATTTTTACCACATCAGGTGGATTTTCTGACTTTCCACTCTTATTCACATATTAAATAAAAATGAGTACATCATCAAACTAAAAAACAAAGTAGTTTTAAATAAATAGAAAATTAGTTTTGAATGTAAACTAGTTCCCACGCAATTTGTCTAAAGGGTTTACTGCCCGTGTGGTGGAGCATCTTTCTTTTGCCTCTGTTAAGTGTATTTCGTTGGCTTATTTTCTATACATCAAGATTAAAAGAGAATTTTAATAATCTAGCAATATATATGGAACAAAATAAATAAAATTAGGAGATTAATACCTAAAATTTTGAACAAAAATAATGTTCCTTATCTAGCCAATCCTAGTCGTCAACACTCACTCATGCAGGTTTTTTTTAAGTGCAACTTGCAATGATTTTTCTTTTACATATTTCTTGTGCATCTCACCACGCCACTTATTCCACAAATTACGCAAGTGTCTCATTACTGAATCTCGCTTTTGCTCCATGCCCTCATCATCAAATTTATCCTACATCAAATTGAATCAGAATTTAATTTATAAGAATTAAAGACCAATTGAAAAAAATTAATTTTTAAAGTACCATAATGGATGCCCACATATGATCTTTATTTTGTTGTGGTATTTTGTCCGAATTGAATGAAGATGAACGAATATCTCATGAAAATGAAGATGAATGAAGGCAACATTAGATTCCACAACATAGTAATATGAACAGGACATAATGTTTATCTAAGTTAAAATATTTTGCTCATGTGAATCAATTTTCATGGGGAATGACACGAAATTGATCTAGTCCATATAAATCCCTTGGTTAAATGGAGATTAACTACAATTTAGTATTCACTTAGAAAACTAAATAATTAATACTTTAGATATACATTAACAAAATAATACTATATTTGATTTAATTCAGAGCATAACAATTAGCATACCCTACCCTAGCACTTACACTAGTAGATGTTCACATCCTTCAAGATGCATGCACTCTCTATCCGGCGCGTGGAGCTATTCACAACAATAGATTGATGGCACTTTGAGCTCTCCGCCTAGGTTTAATCTCAAGAAGTTGCATAGCTACAAATTTTAGCCATAATGCATGCATTAGCCATAAATCCTGCATTAGCCAAGCAACTTACCCTGAACTGGAGTGTCCAAATTCAATGGCATTCCCTTGACCAAATCCCAAGCTTATTTACAAGCACAGCCCGACCA